AAATCACTCCACAGGGAATTTCCTTCCCCCTACCCGACCACCACACGGCACTAGCCAACTCCTAATCTTGCCCACCCATCACCCCAAATCCCTCATAACCACACTACCCCCATCCAACACGACCCTCGAACCCTCATCGACCCAATCCCGAGCAGCAACCCTAAAAAAATCCAGTCGAAAAAGAAACACCGGATCGCCCCGTTGTCAACATCTCGAAGATCACATAAGAAGGCCACCATGGCACCCAGCAGAGGAGGGGTGCAGGGGAAAACCTTTCTGCTAAGCATGTCACCCATAGTGCACTTACCTTTGGATCGGTGCCCTTCACTTGCCCTGCAGACTAGAAGGGTAGGCTCCCCACCTTGCCCGTTGTTGCCTAATCGCAGGGAAGAGTGCCAGCCTAATTGAGGTAGTTGGACCTCCTTGGTATTCATCATTGCGATGTTCTGGGAGGCTGCAGCGTTTGTCAAACCATTGTTGCCATATACTTGCCCCCATCCGTCTGGTATGTCACTACCCCACAGGCGCTTATTATTGATCTGTTCTCCTCTCTAACCACAGCGGAGGTCCGTTTCCTCCTTGGTCTGAAACTCGTGTGGAATCTCATCATTTGTCACTTCGGTTGTCTGTGCTTCAGTCGTATGGCCAACAAGCCCATCTCTATTATGAGCGTCGTATGAGTTATGATCATTCGTCTTCCACAACTTTGTGGCCGCCACAACTTTGTGACAGCCGATGCGCACTTGCCCTCGTACCAGCATAACAGTGACTATGCCAAAAACAGTATCAGTGACAGGGCGTTGGAGAAGACAACAGACCCCACATACTCCCTGCCCGGGGCAAGTCACATAGGGGAGAAAGTGGGCGATGAAGCTGACTTACCTCACTTGAATCAAACACTGGTTGTCTTAGGCCCTGCATCCAAGGAGAAAGAGTTAATATAGCAGACGGTGCAGATAGTGGATCTCACTGAGGACCTACCAGATTGCGGCCCAGGTGGACAGGAAAAAGAACTTGCAGAATTTGCAGAATCTGCAGAAACTGCAGAAACAGAAAATTCCCGAATTCCTCAAAGTTCACTCTCCTCATTCACCGTCACTTCTCAGGGTGCGTTATGTTCGGGGGAAGAGGGTAGCTATGAACGCAGTACACTCTGTGTGTGTGTGTGTGTGTGTGTGTGTGTGTGCTTACGACAAAACGTCAGCGGTTGAAACACCGGCTAGCAAAAGGTCAAGGGATACTTTCTCCAATTAAGACCGGTATTGTTGTCTTACCGGTCAGACTCAAGGATGGTACGTGGGAAGTAGGACTGTCCGTTCCCCAGGGAGCGGTGTATGGGGAAGTGACAGTGTTGGGTACTACCTCACCTTTCCTCTCTCTCTCCACGAAGACTGGCAGGCTAGGAGGAGAGTCACTCATTAAACATGAGGTAGGATGATTTATCAAGGATAAACTTCTGCCTGGCTGTACTGCCAATTTGACAATCTCCGAAGGAGATCAGTGGTTGGCTGAATGGGATGTCTTCTTAAAATATGGAGTTTGTAGGCAGCTTGACCTCAAGTGGTTCAACCAAGACGTCCTAACGGAACTGCAACTAATGAAAGTTAAGGCAAGCAACTTTTGGTCAGAAACTGATGTAGGAACGCTGCTTGTTCGGCTCTTGGGACAACAGATTCTAGTGTCAGGGGGCCTGTTAGACGTCGGTCCGTGGCAGACCCTCTAAACCAGCCTGTTCAACCTTCAATTCACTCCCCCAATAGTGGTCAGTGGTGTCTGCCCTGCTTGTTATGGAGAATTTCCAGAAATTTGACGCACTATATAACAAGGACAAAACATGGAAATCCCTCAAGAGGCAAGCAAATTTAGACTTGCGATCCCTGAACGTTAATGGTTTTGCCTCCGCCAAGTTTCAAAAGAAGCAAGCCATCTATGACCAGCTTAGGGGAATAGGGGGGAAAGAATGACATGCGTCATCTATATCCAAGAAACGCACCTCATGGATGCAGCCATCCACAATCATTGTCATAAACAGATATGGCCCTATACAATATTCAGAGCACATGCACCTCGTCCTGAGAGCGCTGGTGTTGCAATTTGGATTCCGCCAGATTCCAAGGTAAAATCAGTTTACTGAGAGGTTGACAAAGAAGAAGGAAAGTGGGCATATATACAAACAATGTTGGAGTTAGAAATTGTTATTATCTTATGTGTCCATGGGCCAAACGAGGTAGGTAATCGTCAACGGTTCTTTGAATCTTTGATCCCAAACTTCCAATTGGCATCCCAGTGATCATAGCAAGAGATTTTAACGCTGCTCCAGACCGATCCCTGGATCGCTGACGTATTCTTACCCCCTGCCCGACCTATGTGGAGGCTGGTGAAGTAATGATAATCAATCTAACTCAATCTTTTCACCTATTTGACTCATTCAGAAGATTGAACCCTACCCACCGTACCTTCTCGTGCTTTAGAAAGAATCAGGATAGGATGGTCACTAAGTCACGCATTGACCTAATCCTCCTCTCTGACGAATTGAAAGGTTCTCTTCAATTTGCTAAAGTATTTCCTAAAAGCCCCCAGTTAGGACTTGATCACGCTATGTGTGTGGTTATTCTCTCCTTCCGGGAAAAAAAAAACAGACCAAGGTAAGGGGTACTACAAATTAAGCACATCTCACCTTAAAATAAAAGGTTTCAGAGTCTACCCAAAGGATGTCTGGTCCTTCTCGAGACAACAGAAAACCATTATCCAGGATGATTTTATGTGGTTCAACAACGGTCTAGCTTTCCTAAGCCATAAATGCAATGAATATTCAGAATTATTGGCAACCGAACATCATTTCAATGAAGCAAGGATTTATCAGCGCATCCAACAGTTACAATCCCAGGAAAGTGACAATGAGAACGAGGAAAACAATGAACTGGTAGCTCAAGAAATTCAAGAACTAGAAAACCAATTACTCTCACAAATAGAATATCGTTGGAATGGCGGTAAGCTTCGAAAGTTTGTCACCGAGGGGGGAATGGATGCAAGATTCTTTGCTATAGCCAGAGCCCGAGCGGGGAGGACAGTCATTGAGGCTCTGGCTTATCCTCAACATCAAATTGATGAGTCGGTCTCCTCTACGGTTGAATGTACCAGGATTGCAAAAGATTTATTCAAGAACCTCTTCTTATTCGAAACCGGTTGTGTGTCCGAAATCAGATTCAACACGGGTTTCACGTTAAACAATTCAACGCACGTTAAATTCATGTTAAATCCATGTTTGAACGCGCGTTGAACGCGAATCAAAGAGGTTCGCGAAACCCGATTTCGCTCGTTTTTTTGGGGGGGGGGGGGGGGGCGGATTTTGAGGGCTTGGGTGGTGTAGTGGCCTGTTAGGTACCACCTCAAACGATCAAAATTAGTATTTTTTTTTTAAAGAAAAAAAAAAGAAACCTGACGCCACTGCGTTTTCGGGGTGCCGAGGTTCGGAGGACGGCTACAAGAACGGTCGTTTCACTCGACCGCACTTTCATTCGCCGCACGAGCCTATAGGCTTCAACGCGAAGAACGCAGTTGAGTGACGCGTCCAACGCGCGCACGACAAGTGCAAAGAGAGAGAGAGAGAAAGAGAGAGAGAGAGAGAGAGAGAGAGAGAGAGAGAGAGAGAGAGAGAGAGAGAGAGAGAGAGAGAGAGAGAGAGA